AACATATCTCATGTAAGATTCACGACAAAGTTCTGGCCGAGTGTTAGGCAAAAATGGAACAACAAAGCACCTCGGGTCAATATCGATTGCCGACTTGATCAATGGACCAATTGAATCCCCTTGAAGAAGGCCAAAGAGAAAAAGAAGTGAAAACCTCATTTGCTGCATCGAGAGAAACAAGTGTGATCAAGGAAACAAGACTATATGATACAACGACTTAAAAAAAAAAATAGATCAGACCCACAACATACATGTTCATGTGGAGGACAGGAGTGAAAATGCTCCAATGTGCTTACAACCCATCCAAGCGTAGTGATCATACCACCGATATTCCAGAGCATATGGAGGTAAGCTCCAAAGGCAGACGCAACTAGAATACAGAATAAGCTGAGATAAACCTACAAAATTCCACCATTTTCGAAAGAGAGAAAGGAGATCAATGAATGCATCACTACTAGATACTACTCCAAGCTGTCTCCCTTTTAAGTCTTGTATTATACATATTTGTCATTTATGTTAGTATATACATTTTGGTAAATGCAACCCACTTCACTTTCTATCAATTTTTATTGATATAATATATTACCAATAGGATATGTGTAAAGTAAAAAATGCAGAATTGTATATATTTTCACCATCTAATGCACTTACATAAAAGCAATTAGAGACAATGGTAACCCTAAAAGCTGAGATGCAATTAAAGAGATCAGAAGATAAAACAAATCTCAATGAGTCGCCTTGGACTAAGACATAATTAAGGGTTTTGAAAGAATCATCAATGAAGAGATTACCCGCTTAAGATGATTCTGAACCGCCGGAGAAACCCGACTGAAGTCTTTCAACTCGTCCATGGTTTGCTTTTGCTTGTGATCGTATTTTAAGACTTTCCTTACTGTGGAGAGTAACGCGTCTACTGTCCAAGTCTTGTAACACCACAACAGTTTGACAATAATACCCATATTACCTTCGTTCATTTACGATATCGTTTACACGTGTATGAGGGCAGAGGGGGGTATACTGGACAGTGGCATTTCTGTCTTTTCATTTTCCGATAGAAACTTATTGGAAATTTAGGGCTCTCAAATGAGTTGATTTTTTGGGACCGAAATGCAAATGGAATCATCTTTAGAACGTCAAAGAGAACCATCAAAGGGCCAACTACTTCCATCAAAGGACTTTTCAAGCGTCGAAGTTGATTCTCGTCGCTAAGCAAATGAAATATCTCGAATCTTTTCCAGATCGCAGGAGCAAAATTAATTTACACATCTGAACAGCTTCAAAAATTTCTAAAATCTCATCATGGTATCTTATGATGGCCCTTTCCTTTATATTTCATCGTTTCTGTGATCTTTGTGGTTTGGTTTGATCTTGCACAGATCAGCATTCACATTGTGATTTATTGTATATCAAGGTACAATTTGGATTTTCACTTTCCTTACTTAAGAGATATCTAATATATACCTTATAGAAAACCAGGTTCAAGGCTTAATGCGATATAACCAGTAGGACCGAACCATGAAAACACCCAACGGTTATGATTATGAAAGCTCAAAAGATGGAAAAGAAGCAACAAAAACCACTCAAATCATTTACAATCTGAAGGTGATATGTTTATGCATAAGAGAAACAAGAAAAGCATCCAACTATTGAAACATAACGTAGTCACCACCCACAACAAGAGTGTATCAAAGTGGACTAAACAAACCATCTATTTACTTTCTTCACACTTAGT